GGTTGACAAGAGGATCAACTTTGCTGGGCAGCATCAAGTGAAGCACATAGCTATCGTTTCGCAATGCTACTCGAGTTGATGGAGTAATCTTCGTAATGTCAATATTCTTGTCGATGTCAACAACATACTTCCCTTCAGGGTGAACCTGGATGTCAAAAAAAGAAAAAAAAAATTCCCAGCACATTTCGTAAACTTATAAAGATAACGGAAGCAAAATAAAAATTCAAAAACAGGTGCAAAGCTGTAATAACTATGCCAGTGCAAAATGAAAGCTATCATAAGGTAAAAGTATGATAGCTTGGACAGGAAGCTACCATAAGTAAACAGTATGAAAGTTGTAGAGTCAGAGATGAAAGTAGATCAATACGAATGTTCAAAATGATATAAATTTCATCAAAGCTGCACACATAAGGACTAAGACTAGTTTTTGATGGTTTCATTCCCTTATTTATCATTGACTAAACTTCCTAGGAATTTACTAGCTTGAGAAGAAACTGAAGGCTACTAACCAGATGATAATCCTAATTAGCGTGGAATGAATATAAATCACCAACCTTAACTAAGACCTTTGATTTTCCCATGACTTTGACAACTTCACCAACATAAGACCCCGGCTCCTGTAGAAGCTGTAGCTCTTCCTTCAGCATTCTCACTGTTTGCATTGGAAGCAAAAAATAACAGCACATGTCACGGAACAGTTAAAGAACAGTACACAACCAAAAGAAGTAAATAATGACAACAGAAATAACACCAAACACATCTCACTCTCACTCTCACATCGAAATTAAGACAAACTTAATGTAACCATGAGATGTTGCAATACTTGATCCGAATATGTTCTCAGTGTGCCTATGTTGGAAAAAAAAAAAAACAAACGTTAATCGGCCAAATGCAATCCCCCACCATCATATCCATTAATTTTTTTTTTTTGGTATATTCTGAAGTTGAAGGAAGTCCACTAAATTACTTCTTGATATCGAAGGCGAGTTTCAATTGCCAAGTAGAGGGCCAACAATAAACAGTAAAGACACTCTATTTGTAACATCATCCTGCCAATTCCTGGATTTCCTCTCTAATTTCCACACACATTCCTTGATTCCAAAATTTAAATGCCAGACTTGATCCATTAATTTTCGTCCCCCATGCTAAATACTAACTAGATATTAGTAAGAAAAGGGAAGAAAAGAAACAGAACAAAATAAGAGTGACTACCTGAAAAGCTTAAGAAAGCAGATAAATAGAGCTAAATAAAAATCAATTCAACTTATTTTTTCCCCTGATTAGCGGAAGGGGAAGAGCAGGGTAAGCTGAAAATAGGAGATAAATTAGAGACCTCGGGAATTAAGATCGTTGCGCTGGGCTTCAAGACGCTGAAGATTGTGGGTACGTTGCCGGAGTTGGAGCTGAAGATCATGGATATGTTGCAGGTAGTACTGCCGCAGCCCTTCTCCACCCCCGCCTCTACCTCCGCCACCGCCTTGCTGTTGATTGTAATGGTTCGTCGCGTTATCGGCACCCTCCGCCGGCCAATTATTCTCGACTGCCGCCATCGCCATGACAAAATAGGCTCTTCGATTTCTAGAAAGATTTCGGTAATGAGCTCCCCTGGGTAGAGTGGATTTGCAGAATAGGTTTCGTCTTGGTCAAGTTATGCTTTCTTCTGTCCTGACTCCTGAGTGTTCGTGTGTGTATATATATGTATCTTTCTATATGGTCCATAAAGCAGCATGAGCGTGGCGTTTGCCATCAAAATCTTTTTTCATTATTTATTATTCTAATTTTATCCCCAAATAAGTAAGGATTTATATTTTATACATATAACCACAAATAAACTAAATTCAATTTCAACAATTTTTAATAACTTTTTTATTCTAACTTTCAATAACTTTCTTTCATAAAGACTTCAAATAACTTCCCACTATTTTTTTTCCAAATCAAAATTCTAATAACTTTTACATTCGTTGCCAAAAAATAAGAAAAATAAATAACTCCTATCTTTTTATTAAGAAAAAAAAAACTTTATCCATAATTTGCACATTCGTAGGTTATGTCTCTCGCACTAGTATATATAGATTTAATCTCAGAAATTGGAGGAGGAAACCAAAAATATATAATTTACAAATAACTCATTTAATTTTTAACTAAATAAAACTGCGCCCCTAATATATTTCTTTTTATATTATAGACAGAACTAATTTGATGTTTTATTCTTTTCATTTTTTAGGTTTTCAGCATGGAATGTTTACTCTTTATTTTCACTTCACTATTGATAACTTAAATCAGGACAATATGCTGCTCTATTAAGAGATATTATGTTGAGATTTTTTTGTATTTTATTTTTTACTCTTGGTTTTGTTTTTCTTCCATACTTCTTTGATATTTGTTTGGGTTCACCTAGGGGGATATTTAATTGAGCAACGTGACCTAAACATATAGTGTTGATAGAGTTCAAGTCAAGCTCAAATTGTTCGATTGAGATTTTGAATCAAGTTCGAGTACTAATTTTGGAGATTCGAAAGCTTAACTAACTCTAATGAGTTTTTTCATTAAATATCTAATTATTATATTATTGTTTATAAATTATTATTTCAGTTTTATTTGTTACAATGTTTATGACTATAACCAGTGTAGCTATTCTATGTTCAGGGGTGATTAAGTCATTTGCTGCAAGTCCTCGAGCTCTCAAACCTCTATCGAACTCCCGTCCCCAAATTCAATAAAACTCGTAAATTTTTCAAGACCAAGTTTTGCTTGGAATATTCATTAGTATGTTACCAAATTTCAAGTTCGAGCTCAAATATGCTCACCTCGATGTTATCGCTAGTTTTACCCATTAAATCTTGGCAAGTTTATTTCTTTCTCTTTTTTTTTTTTACTTATTCAACAATTTATTTTGCAATATTCACGAATTCTGGTCAGACTAGTCATTTCTCATTCTTACTAATGTTTTGTATATGTTTCACCACCATACTCAATGTAAGTTTCAAAATCTATGAGCGTACACATATAGATACTAGTAAATAACAAAAAAGGCTAAAAAAAGCATAGCATCATTTTTAATTAAAAGAATTATATTAATCATTTTATATTAAAAGAATCATATTATATTATATTAAAAGAATTATATTAAGAGCATTGGTACGTAGGCTATGTCTTGGGAATTGTATTGATAGCATATTAGATATATTTGAATTGGTATTATTTGCAAAAAAAATAAATCATTTATTTGCATTATAAGCATATTTTTAATTTTAATTTTATATTTTATCTTTTCAATCACCTTTTATTTAACATTCATATATTGTATTATAAAAAATGTTATAGTATTTATTTCAAATAATATTTTCAATAATCTTTTATCCAAACATATGATAGTAAATAAACCTTACAACCCAAGTCAAAAATTCAGATTACACATTATTTTTATTTTATTTACACACACTGACTTACTTGCATTATCAACACATTTTTCAATTATTTTTTTATTTCACATACAACACATTAAAAAAATGCTATAGTATCTTTTTTAAAAAAATTATCTCAAATAATTTACTATCCCAACACATTAAATATTGGAGACTTGTAAGTGACTCAAAAATTTCAACCACTCCTGAATATATCGAGTTAACTAGGGAGGAGTGCCCGCGCATTGCGCGGGTGTTTAGTACCTGTGAGGAAGGAAGTTTTTTTGTTGAACAAATGATAGTACATTGTGAGAATAAATAAAACTGAGTATGAAAAGATAAACGATATAATCAATCAATTCACACAGTATTACAATAAAACTGTGTCAAATTGAAGGTCGTTGATAATGCAGAAAGGCAGAGCAACACAGAAAACTAACCTTATTCCGGAATCCCCACCGAGAACTCTTTCTTGCTGTTGCTCCAAACCTATAAGATTATAACCAACCCAGACCAATTAGGGTTAGGTTACGCGAAAAATGCTATATTGCGGTTAGGCAACGCGATAAGAGTCGCTAATTGTAGGTACTAAAAACACACCGACAAAATTAAGGGAGAAACTGAAAAATTGGGGGCGGTGAAATCTAATCTCACGTTGAACCACCAAGAGTAGTTGGGACTGAAGAGCATTATGAGCTGATTAGTATGAAGCCAGATAGAATTATCTCAATCCTAAAATGCGAACAGGGAGAAACTGATAATCAACCGTTTAGACATTAAGATACCAACGGTTCGGCAATTGAATTGGATGTAATTAATGACGAAATAATAGGTAATTTCAGAGTTGAGCTCGGATGGAAGAGAAAACGATGAGGCAAATCGTTGTAGACAAAGGCAAAAAGGGAAAACTTAACTCCTGAAACTGAAAGGGAATAAAATGACCAACGTTTGTGACTCATAAATGCAGATTATAAATGATAGAGAAATGAGTTTCTGCCATTGATAGAGAAATCATTGGTTCATTTCCTAAATCCGATTGCCATTCAAATGTTTTAGACAAAGCAACATCTCAAACGGTTATTTGCAGTTGAAAAGCGGAATTATTGGTAGTTAAGAAATATTCCGGTAATTACACCAACACACAAGTATATATGGGTTGTACATAATGCAAAAACGGTTGCACACTAATTACACATTCCATCAATACCCAGATGGCTCATCAATGACAACTTTAAATGTATTAAAATGGGGTCATTTCAGTAAACATATCCAAATACATACTTCGTTAACTTGTACCTAAAGTTTTTAAATTAATACACAACATTTTACATTTCCAAAAAGCCCCACCTATGCGGTTGAAATCCAACCTACTCTTTGACCAAAACTCAATCTTATATAGTATAAGGATATGTGCGACTCATTATTATTTTTCCTTTTTCCATTCCAGCCAGACAGCTTTTCCTGGGTAAGTCCATAATTTGATAAGAAATTAAGGTTTCTTCTTATAAAATCACAAATTTTTTATTTTGGAAAAAAGGCAACACTCTGACGAATTTCTCGACTGTATAAAAGGCAACCATTCGCCTCTCAAGCTGCTTTGCGCCCAGCCCTACATCTAGTTATGTAGTGTGAATTTTTAGAGTATTTTTTTTCTTTTTATTTTTTCCCTTTTCTTTCACAAATAAAACTTGATCTGATTAGGAGGTGTAAATCCAATCACAACTTAATTGAATTATCCTCTGATTAGGGTTTCTTCCTGTTTTAATTTGCCACCAATCGTTGTTATACTGACGAATCATGTACGCCAGTATACGTATAGCTGATTTTGCTGTGTATGATAAAAAAATCAAAATCTAAAAGGTAGAAAAAACTTTTTTTTTTGGGGTTTAATTTGCGGAGGCAATTGTGGGTTTTTTAGGGGTCAATTGTCACTGTATTAAGAGTGGGGAAAAAAGAGGTGGTATTACAAGTGATTGCTGTGGTGGTATTACAAGTGATTGATTTGGGATCAGGGAATTTGTGTGATTTTCTGGTTAAATAATTTGGACTTTAGATTTTTTTTGAATTTGAAAAAGATACACTTTTACAGAAAAAAGTTATAATTTTCTTTCATTTTTTTTTTCTTTTTCGCTGGATCGGTTAAGTAATGGATAAGAAAAAGGGTGCTGCTCCCCTTGTTTGCCATGGTCATTCTCGTCCGGTTGTGGATTTGTTTTACAGCCCAATTACTCCAGATGGGTTCTTCCTCATTAGTGCGAGCAAGGGTAATTCCTTTTTCCAGAATTATTTAGACATATGAATTTGAACACTAGTTCCCGGTTTTAGTTGAGCAATCTAGTTTGTTGATACGAATTTTACAAGTTCATCATATTTGTGTGTACATTTTAGCAATCTGGTTTCCCCTGCTAGTTAATGGTTAGGAGAATTATAATGAATGGATTACTGCTTTGACGTTTGATGGCCTCTATGTTCTCTTCCTTCCAACTATCCAAGCAAATGAATATTCAAAAGGATTCCCAGCTAATTACGCAAATGAGTATTCAAAAGCATTCCCAGTTAATTGCTACCAGAATTAAAAGAAAGGAAACGGATAGCACCGACCTAATCTCTAGCCTTTCCTTCATATTCACACTTACCCATTCTTGTAAATTGAGCAAATCTTGTTCATTTGCAGCTTCCTGAGCTAACAAATTTGTCCGACCATTAGGCTTTTGGGCATTCTGAAAGGATATGTACTTCAGTCTCAATATCCTTGCTCGAATCCTTGGCGAATTGAATTCTTTGGTTTTCTTTATTTTGTAGAGTTGGGATTTAGGTTGGGCTTTAGCAGTAATTGCCATCGCTATGATATCTTTATCGTTAGGTCCTGTTATTTTCATAACCAGGTCCAGTTTGTCTTTCACTTGCTCAGTATTCATGTCAAAGTCAGCTTATAGGCAGATGTAGTAGGGAGTTCACCATTCCAATTTGAAATTGCAGCTAATTGTAAAAAGTTACAGTAATCTTTCCAGAAAGAACCTTTTTGGCCATCTCTTTTTATTTGTCTATTTATCAAGTCCTTTGTCTTCAGTTGCACCTACACGACATGTTCTAATTCTCATAACTACCTTAAGATTTTTTAAATTTAACCCTTTTGGTCCATGATATCACGGTCATTTGTACCAATTCGTACTTGGAACTAGCTACTGTTTCTAGCCATGAAATATACAGCCAGTCTGTTGCTATCATGAGTGTAAGTAACGTTTGAATGACTGTGTAAGCTCCTTTTTGTAATCTCCAGACCCCAAATACTTACTCGCAATCAATTTTCTTGATGTCTGATTACTTTTTTTCACTTGTTGGGGAGGTCTCTTTCTATTACATATTGGGCAGTATATATATCGCAAGCAAGTGTGATTCACTGAGCTATGATAATGAGGTGTGGCATTTTGGCCTCTCAACTTGCTATGGGTTGTGACCAGTAAAATGAAATGATATTTTTTAGGTCAGGTATGATTAAGTGACTTGCCAAGATACTTACCAATGGCTTCCAAGATTTACTTATGCAGATTTATCTTTGTATCTTTTTTATCATGTTCCTAGTGGTATACCAAGAAACATTTATCCTGGTCATTTGACATTTGAATACTCGACACTTGACCAAAAACTACTGTTAGGTTTTCATGAAAATGAATGTTGATTTTGATTTTGATGGTACAGTATAGAACTCCTTTTAAAAAAAATTAAAAAATAATCCAGAAGTAGGGATGGCGAGGTTTTGTTATGAAACCTGTTATCTGAAAGTATAAAGCAATATTGTCAAGAGATGGTTGTTATTGTATTCAGTTAAAAGGTTATTGAGTATAAGAGAATAGACTGTGGTTAATTACTAGTTTATTTTCATGTCAGATTCCAATCCAATGTTGAGAAATGGAGAGACTGGTGATTGGATTGGAACCTTTCAAGGGCATAAAGGTGCAGTTTGGAGTTGTTGTTTGGATAAACCTGCTCTACGTGCTGCATCTGCATCTGCTGATTTCAGTGCGTAAGTAGCTGTTTCTGTTTCTCTTTGATTTCTGGGATGCAAGTATCTTATCTAATGTGTTCTCATAAGGTAATGATTGCTTTTTTTTTTTCCTGAAATTAGAGTAAATCGTTTTCCTGACTCAAATAGTTTCAATTGAATAATTATTTGTGTGAAAGCCTTTTTGACAGCAGAACAAAATCATCAGCATCCAACATGCTTATGTGATGTCTTATATTCTAGAATTGTGGTCGAGAGCTGTAGGGTTGGCAGTGTACATTTTCTGTTCATAAATGCTGACTGTTTTTTACAGGAAACTATGGGATGCATTAAGTGGGGATGAATTGCATTCATTTGAGCACAAACACATAGTTCGGGCATGCTCCTTTTCAGAGGTGACTGGTTGTTACTTGACGTCTTGAGGCAATTACGTTTCAAGCATTTTGTATTGAGCTGACTATCATTCTGAGCAATTCTTCTTTTGCTGTATACTAGCTGCTTGTTTGGGTTTGCCTTCCCTATTGCTGTAATGTTTTTGCTTGTGAAAATTTGAGTTGCTGTTGTCCCTATGCATTTTCCATTAACTTGAGCAGGGAGGTAGTTTTAGGTCGTCCTTCTGCCCTAAGTAAATGAGTATGTGTAGTTTTTAAACCTGTTAAGAGTTTCTCAAATATCATTCATGTTTCTAGTTGGACTGTAGCATTTGGAGCTTTTGAGAATGTTCTTCTCTTTAATTGACTGGATTGTGGGGCTTGTGACTTTTTAGTTGATATATTCTTTTCCTTAAAGCACACACTTTCTTGGTTGGTATATCTTCAAGTGCTAAATATTGCAACTATTTTTGGATACGTTGTAGTTTGTTAAAAGCTTCATTTTTTCTAGCATAAAGTTCAACTAGAAGACGGACTTGATGATGTGGAAAGCTTCAAATAGTTCTAAGCATGTCATGTTAAAGAAGTTCATAGAACCTTAAAGGTGGCCTAGTTAACATACATTTTTTTATCAGTATTTGCTATAATTTGATATCTTTTGATCCTTTTGCTCATGAAGCCTTTTGAGGACCTACCTTCCAGGTTTATGCTTATAGAACTTTTTGTGGTGCTTTTATAAGTTAGGGGTGTTTCCCTTCCTTGAGTATGAACCATTGGTAATCTTTTCTTGCTTATCCTAAGAAATGTCAAGCCCTTAGTGCATGTCTTATTCATTACGCAAATAAGCAAGTGCAATAATATTTTAGTTCAGTATACCCTGTAAGATTTTTAAGACATTGACAAAATTGACTTTTGATGCTCTTGCAGGATACACACCTACTACTCACTGGTGGTTTTGAAAAGATTCTTCGAATATATGACTTAAACCAACCAGATGCACCACCAAGGGAAGTTCATGATTCTCCTGGTTCAGTTAGAACTCTTGCATGGCTTCATAGCGACCAAAGTATATTAAGTTCATGCACGGATATCGGTGGTGTGAGGTATGTGGATGAAAAATAATAGATGATGTACTCCACCCCAGGTTCTTAGGTGTTTGTTGTGGTTAGCTATAATTCTTTCCCTACTTTATTTAAACTTTGCATGAGAACCTAGATGGATAAACATTTTAGAACCAAATTAGTCAGTATTATTGTTCGATAGAACATATGTAGTGAGATAATTCTAACACATCCCTAATTCTGGTGAAAAGAACATTAGGAAAGAGGAAAAGATTCTTCGAGCTGTTACCTTACCTTTTTTTTTGGTATAAACTTTCCTGGCAAAGTTTGCCAGGTGAGATGAAATACTAAAATTTTTCACAATCCCCCCTCTCCCTGTTGCACACAGAAAAGAGAAGAATTGAAGCAGCCTTTTTCAGGGGACCTTTTTCTTTTACCTTTTGGATGTGGTTTGCTTGCCTTCTTTGTTTTTTCAATAGATTTCGAATTGGATTCTAATTATGTGCTGGTAACACCATCTGCACATTTTAGTCGCTTGAATTTTCTCTGTTTGAAGTTGGGTGTTATTCTTGATCCCTTTTTTAAGAGTTTCAACTGTCATCATTGAAGTTTTTGACTTATTGTGCAAGTTCTTTAGTTTTATCATTTTACATAACAATTGTGCTGTAGGTTATGGGATGTCAGAAGTGGAAAAATTGTCAGAACACTCGAGACCAAGTCAGCTGTAACTAGTACTGAAGTGAGTCATGATGGCCGCTATATAACAACAGTCGATGGTTCCACTGTTAAGTTTTGGGATGCAAATCAGTACGTTAGCTTACTAATTTGTATACTGAAGCAAATTTGTCAATCATGGCTTCTGCTATCTTTTGATTTGGTATGGCCGATGATTTGTTTATTTGTTGACCAGCTTTGGATTGGTGAGGAGTTATGACATGCCTTGCAATATGGAATCAGCTTCCTTGGAACCCAGATTTGGGAATAAGTTTGTTGCTGGAGGTGAAGACATGTGGGTTCATGTCTTTGATTTTCACACTGGTGCAGAAATTGGTATGAATCTTTGACCTTGTACAGTGCTTGCTGCATCCTCTCTTAGTAGAGGATGATAGAAGTTGGGTCGAATCCAATGCCTCATTCTTTGTGGGTGGGGGTCCCTTTTATTTGACCCTTCTCTTTCTCTGTATTTTCGTCTAATATGGAGTTCTCTTGGTTTGTGGGGACTATGGCAAAAGATAATGCCTTAAATGCGATTGGTAGGCAGTCAAATAAATCTGCCTGTTTCAGACACACCATTTGGTCTCCTGCTGCTATGCTTCTTTCGTTGTATAGTGTGGAAGTTGTTGTTTCAAGTTTTATGGTCCGTTTGTGTTCTCATGTCATTGTTTCATTTTGGTACCCGAGTGCTTTAAGGGGGATGGAATTGCTAAGTATTAGGACAAGCAGCGATTAGGATAAGAAAGTAATGTTTGATGCCGTTTTAGTGACAACAACATGGTGTATCTAGAGCGTTCGAAACCTGAAAAGCTTTTAAATGCTTTTTCTGTGGCCGTTTTTGAAGTACTACTATAATAGGATTACAGCTAAGTTCTAACGTCATCTTCAATTGCTACTAATTTTGTTCCTAGTATTGGAGTTTGCAAGTGATAATAAAATTCTGCAATAAAAGTTTCTAAGTTTAGACATCGTACTATTGATCTTTGGAAAGATTAAACCTGGTTTTGTACTTCTGCTGGAATTACATGGAACCCTAATTCTAATTGTATCTTGTGTTGTTATAGCCTGCAATAAGGGTCATCATGGTCCTGTGCACTGTGTCCGGTTCTCTCCAGGGGGTGAATCTTATGCTTCTGGCTCTGAAGATGGGACTATTAGAATATGGCAGATATTGAATCAAAACGAGGAGGAGACAAATTTGGCAAATGGACCCAGTGACAAGGTGAAGGATGATGCGGCCGAAGATGTAGCCGAAATGGTTGAGGGGATCAATCTTACCGAAGTAAAGGAGCCTGCTGAAGGAGTGGAGAAAGGCGTCTGACTATACTCTACAGTACAAGTGTCTTTTGTCTTAAGGTGTTACCTGATAGGCTAGTTGTGTATGCCTTGGATATTTATATATTATCGGGCTTTTTTTCAGAAAAAATAAAAATATGTTTTGAAGTGCACTTTTTTTTATTTCTGCGTTTTTTCTCTTCCCTGCATGTTTTGCCTATTCGTGTGGGCAGAGAGAGATGCTGGTACATCTCAGTCTCATAATTGCCATCTGCTTTCAATGATACCAAAGTTTGATAACCAGAACTTAACGATGCAGTCAAGTTCAACATCAGCCCCATATATCATAATCTTCTTTCAGCATGGCAATTTAGTGAAAAAGCTCGGAGGAGAGGATGATCGATCGCGTGTTCTTGGCTTGCCATTGCCTTTCATAGCTGAACTTTAGCTTTATCATAAATAAATTGACATTATTATTATTGTACTCTTTCGTGAGGTTGTGGGTATAGTCGGAGCAAGGTTTCATTCATGCACCCCAAAACCAAAACAATTGGGCGTTGGCTAGGATGTATTCGGTTTCTTGACTTGTGTGCAATTTCTCTGCCGATCAATAAGAGTAATATAATAATATTTCTTGGCCAAAAAAAAAAAGACATATTATAATCCTTACCCATTCTTTTGATGTAAAATTCAAAAGGCTAAAATGCTAGTAGTATTAGTTAGTTAGAGAATCAAAACAAAAGTATGAGATGGTTAAAAGTTGGAGGGCCGAATGGGCTGTTTGCTGTCATTGAAACTCCATCTTGACGTGGCGACTAATACCCCAAAAAGCAACATACTTTGATGTTAAGTTGATAACGTGGCCCACGATGATTAGTTGATACTTTGGCCGCCTCTGCATTTATCTATACACCCAAAAAAAAATCCACGTAGGATTGAAATCCCTTGCAAGTAATTCTTACAAAAGCATAAGGGTAGTTGAGTAATACAAATCTTCCAGAAATAAAAAATAATTCTCATCGTTGCACGTCGACCCCGATCCAAAGTCGCCACTCCGAATTTCTCCTCCTTCGCTTAGCTCTGCAATTGCTCCCAATCATCAGTTAACCGCGCCTCGAAGCTTAAAAATTCTGTCAAAAATCAGAATCGGTTGTTTCTTAGAAGCTAAACTAGGGTTTTAAAATGTCGGGGAAAGGAGCAAAGGGTTTGATAACGGGGAAATTGAACAAGGATAAGGACAAGAAGAAGCCTGTCTCTCGTTCCTCTCGCGCTGGTCTCCAGGTCCTCACCCCCTTCTTCGCTCTTGACTTTACCCCATATAAAAGTATTTGTTGACGTTTTTTAATCCAGATGAGTTTTTCTGTGCTAGGGTTTGAAAAGTCCGATCATTTGCTCTTTTTTTTTTTTAACCCTTTTAATTGGATATTGCAACTTTAAATTTGTGCTATGATCGGTTTTAGCTCCATAGTTTCCTACTTTATAATCAGAAATTACATTCATACCTTCGTCTTTTCATCATTAACTAAGTAGAAAGTAGGAGGATTCGCTTTTTTAGGATTGTCAGTGTAATATTTGCTGCCTTTAGAGACCATTTGATGTGGCAAGTGTGTCGCGGTCAATGAGTTTAAGATTCGACAAGATGGTAGCAGTCAACATCTGTAATCGTTAATCTATGGTTAGTGGTTATAGCTATCATGTTCTTCTAAAAATAAGTAAAGGTTTAGAGGACGGACTATCTTCACATTCTAGCTCTTGTTTGTGTACTTTCTCTGTAGTGTTAGTGTATCTTTTTTGCCTTTGGAAAATTAGATAATAAGGTGGCCCTGTCAAGGGTAATAATAATACCTATTAATTCGTGAGTAATAATTCTGGCTTTCACATTTTTCGGTAGGTTGTGCAACGTGATTATTTTGGTTTGATTTATCTAAGGAGCTTTGAGGTGACTGGTTTGAAGTTCTTGATGCCTTACGGGATAAGTCATTCAATTTGGAATTGTCTATTGTGTTTTAGTTTTTGGTTTAATGTGGAAGCACATTGGGAGAATTATGATAGCGAATGGATTAGGATCATGACAATTGAAACCATCATTCACACTTGCTATCCAAACTTAGTGCATCAATGAGAGAAAGGCTCTCCAACTGTTGGTGTGTGCTAATTTTGAACCATTATCACTAGTTGGCGTTTTTCTACTGTTAACGGTCAAGAATGTAACAAGTTGGATAGCCATCATCCTTGTGGACATTATACTCAATTATGCAGAATCCGAATTTCAAAAAATTATTTTTGGAGGTATCTGTTAGTTAAAGTCTTACTTTGGATGTTTCCACAATTACCATGCTCAGTTTGGTTTGCCCTTCTCGAGGGTTAAAATAAATAGGCATATCAGCACCCCCTTTTCTTTAAACACATTGGTGAAAATGTAGCATGAGAAAAGTCAAGTGTTTTGGAGTTTGAATGGACAGTTAAAGGTGAAGGATACAATAGACAAATTTTTCTTTTCCTGCCTAAGACAGCCTTTTGTGGCCTTGATGGCTTATGTTTTTGAATGTGTTAGCAATATGCTTAAGGTATGGCTTGAACAATTTTCCCTTTGAAGTAACTCTCAGTTTGTATACTATGTCATAGTAGAACATGCTTTACATTGGTCAGCCGATGATATTTATCTGTACATACTGGTATCATGTATACCAAGGCATGCTAGATCTAGTTGTAGACCTACCATGATAATGGACTTGCAAGTGCATGGATTTCCAAAAGACTGCAAAAAAATTGTTACGACTGCAAGTGTTTTTTGGCTGTTTGTATTTGAGTCTATTATTTTATGGTCATAAATAGTTCCAGATCCTCGGCATTTTTATTGTCTTTCTTCCTGTTTGGTCTCATGGAAGAATTGCAGTGTGCGAGTCCTCTTATTTCTATTATTTTGAATGCAATAACTGCAGTTTCCTGTTGGTCGAGTTCATCGTCAACTTAAGACTCGAGTTGCTGCTAATGGAAGGGTTGGAGCTACAGCAGCAGTTTATACTGCAGCAATATTGGAGTATTTGACTGCAGAAGTTTTGGAGTTAGCAGGGAATGCAAGCAAGGATCTCAAGGTGAAGCGTATTACGCCGAGGCATTTACAGCTTGCAATCCGCGGAGATGAAGAACTTGATACCCTTATCAAAGGAACAATTGCTGGTGGTGGAGTTATCCCCCACATCCACAAGTCCCTGATCAACAAGTCCTCCAAGGAGTAGTTTTTCAGTTTGCTTTGCCATTTGACTTTTAGTTTTAAAAACCATGCTTGTCATGAGAGGCTACAATCTTCTCCCCCTGCATGACACAATAGAAAGCTGAGACTTGCAATTTAATTTCTCTGTTTTTGGTTTTTGGTTGATGAATCTTGGAACTTTTAGATTTACTTTAGATGACAAATTGCTATACAGGAATTAGTCTTGCTATCAAAGAAGTTTACGCTAATGTCCTGGTTCACTAGTTAATCCGTTTGTAGCACTTGTGTTTCTGATGCTTGCTAGCAAGCTTGTAGCACAGGTGCTGGTTTTGGCTTTGATCTCTTTGCTCTCTGCTGTCCGGCTAATAGAAATTGAGGGGCTTATACTTGATGAAACCAATATGGGGTGTCTTTAAATTGTTGTGTGTGAATCCTTTTTTCTCCCCCTGATAACAAACCGTACGCTTCAATCCCCAAATCTCCAACAAACCCCTTTCCTGCTCTACCCTCCATCTAAATGGGAGAAGAACAAAGCGTTAGGGCGTAGAGTGGTCGGATGCTTGAAAGTTTTAGCATCTAGTTTAGGGACCAAAGCATTAATGACAAGCAAAATATATCTAGGGACAATGAAATTAGGGATAATTGCAGAAACCTCCTCTGATAATTTCACTCAGCTCCTCCGAGGTTTCAATAATTACATAGACCTCTCTTAGTTCAATTAAATGACTAAAATGTCCTCTACTTAATTCATAAAGGGATATTTAAAACCGAAAAATATTTCTTATTATTCTACTTGTCATTTTTTAATCTCAAAATATAATTTCTATCAATTTTCTAATTTTCATCTCTTCCTCCTTCCCTCCATCTCTCTTTCACACTCCTCTCTTTTCTCCTATAACTGTTTTTTTCTTTCGCCAAATACTGCACTCCATTGTTACCAATCACACCACCATCAATTTTTTACCATTTCTAAAATTTATCTGTACTTTTTTGTCTTTCTGTCTCTTTCTTACTATAAAAATTATAGACCCTTTATTTTTTTAAAAAAAATTTTACTCTTTACAAATGTTAGCCAATTCAAGTTACCAAATTAACAAGGTGCAGACAGTGGATTTTATTGTCAAACTAGGGGAAGATGAAAAAGGTGGCAGCAATATAGGGAAAAAATGAAATTGAGAGTTGGAAGATAAAGAAGTGACTATTATGTTTGTTAAGCAAAAAAATCTAGCAATTAAAAAACTAATTGATTATCTCTTTTATTTGCCTATTGATTGTGGTTTTACTATGAAAGTAGAATTTTGGCTCTATTTCTAAGAGTGCTAGAGCAATGATGAATTATGCTCTTATGGACATGAGAGCATTTTTTGGTTTAGTATTGGTAGTAATGGTAGTGAGTTGCATTAGGCAAGAATTAGCAAGTAATGAATTTTGAGATGAGTTGGATTCATTAGACTTTGTGTGCTTCAATGACTATGCCACGAACAAGAAGTTAAAGATTAAACCTTGTTTTGTTTTGTCTTGTTCTCTAGAAGAAGGGTATTTTAGAATATTTGTGAAAAAATATAAGTTATTGGGTCTATATTGTTACATTAACCTTAGAAGCGAAGAAGGTAGGTGTAATTTTTGAAACTTGAGGAGAGCTCTCTATAATTGCTGAAAACCTCAAGGGAGGTTTCTGAAATTATCCCGTGAAATTAGGGCAGTTAAAGCAGGTAGAACAGTTTCCAGAGAAGGGCTATAGTGAAATGGAAGGATAAATATTAAATTGGGCGGCCAAAAGTGGTGCTTTTGACCAACTAAAAACGAAATTTATGGTATTGTTATTTAATCGTGGAAAATTTTTCGCTCTCTTCTTGGCTCGAAATTGTTTATTTTCTGCGTGATTGTTGTTTATTTGTGCAGCTCCATTAGTGTCTCCAAAGAAAGAATCTTGCACGATGTCTGTTCTTCAACA